GGCTTCTGCTCCCCGCTAACCTTTCAGGCACCAGTTCCCAAGCTCATCTATTTGTGATGAGTTTAAATATTTACTATAGCTAATTTCTAAGGTTCTAATTTTTCTGTTCTTTCAAGGTTTATTTATAAGCAAAAAGACTCACTCTTCTTCTTCATCCGTGCTGAAGAGGTTTAATCTAAACTGATCTACAGAAAAAAAAACCAGGAAGTATATTCCATTATTCATTTCAATTACAAAGCAGTGATGGAAAAAAAGAGGATTAACTAAACAACTGTAATGTTAAAATAACAGAAAAAATATGGGGATAATAATTTTCATATACTTTATATTCCTAATCCTAGAAATCATGCATGATATCTGGAGTGTACATGTTCTCACAAACAATCACAATAACTTACTTTCCTGTTTCTTATTTGATCCTCCAACCAGATGAGCTAGGAGGTTCAGCTCAGCCTTAGCAAGGGGATTTGGGTTATCTGATGTTTCCTGGAAAAATATGGCAAGTAAAATGTCTGAACATTAAAAAAATACCTCCACGACAACAGAACAAGAGACTATGGATAGAGCAGATACAAATTTGCTAACAGTGGATGGAATGTCATCACATTCATTTAACAAAACAGAAACAACATGAACAATTCTACAGCATTTTTCACTCAAGTGTCCAAAAGTAATAATCATTGGTTTTTCATTTTTATGCAACACAATTGGTTTAAAAAACTTGCAGCACTTTGTCATCTGACCATGAGTAAAACCAAAACCAATCGTGACTTGCTTTCACACATTTTCCCATGCTACAGGCATCTTCTTTGAGTTCTCATTGGCTGATTGAATTGTCTGTGCCAACTGTGATTAGCTAGAGTGATAACTTGGTTATGGTTTTATAACAATCAATTGAAAACTACTCTAATAACCAGGTTATTTCTTCCAAGACCAATAGACAAAGGAAAACTACTTGTAATGAAACAACCTTTTTGGCAGGGTTAGTGTGTGCAAGAGGGGAGCTGTGTCTGCAAAACCATGTAAGTAAATGTTTTTGTCCTTGTAAATTGTACTATTTTTTGCTTTGCTTAAACTTTGAAACTAAGGGGAAACATAACATTTGGCTAAGTTAGCGCACCTCACTAAATCCAACATATTTAATTCTCATTCTTACATGTAAATCAGTTCTGGTACAATAACGCAAGGATGCAGGAATTTCATTTAAAGCAAGGCACCAGGCAAATTAACTGGTTGTGAGGCTGATTTTGCCTTTGTGGTTTGACAATCTGGAGGAAAGTTTTTTTTTTTTTTTATAAAGAAGTTCAATTCAAATGGTTTTGCCTTCTTAAGAAAGCCAATTACCTTCCTGTTGAAAACAATGATGGGACCTCGAGGATGAATAACAATAAGACCTATAAAGATACAAATACCTACCACCTCTGATGCTACTGACACAGAGCTTCCAGGGCCTTTCTTAATGGCAGTGGTAGAAGCAGTAGAAGCAGCAGCTGTAGGAGGGCTGGTTACTGTTTCCACTGCTCTAGAGGAAGTGTACCTGGTTAAACAGAACACATCAAGTAGCAAGTTTCCGGGTATACATGTATGAACTTTCACATCACTATACAGTGGAGCTCCGCCTTACAGCCAACCTGTTAATGCAGCTACCTCGTTACTACGGCTGCTTTATTCTCGCCCAAAAACATTTCAGTCAGTCATTTTCTTATTTAAAGAACCCCTTTAATGCAACCACCCCATTAATACGGCCATATTTTTGCAGCCCGTTGGTGACCAGATTAACAGGGTTCCACTGATGTTTTTTAACTAGACACCGATTTACACAGTGGTCAGCCACTCAAGGGGTTAAGAAAAATTTTCCTGTAAATTATCAACATACATGTTGGTTCCAAGCTTTATGACTCGGTCGCCAAGAAGTTCAAATGATCCTGGCTTGTCTGCTAGCTGATAACGGCATCCTGTCACAAAATGACTTGTTCTCGAAACCTGACCCTGGGCATTAAAATATCTGTAATAAAATCATACCATCAGGGAGTTTTATTTTGAAATAGATTTAAATTGCATTTCTGATGGGAATCACACGGGTTAATTGCTGAAGAAGCACTTATCAAAAAGTCAAATGCAAGTCCACTGTTTGTTAATAGTCAATGAATTCTTATGATAATAAGTAACAACTTTTGGGTAAAGTTATAATAAACCATTTCTGTACTGGCCATTAAGAATAAATTATACTCTTGCAGGATAAGATTATTGGTGGCATCACTAGAAAAGAGGACCAATGGCTAAATTAACCTATTCAAAAAGTTTTACATGTATAGTTAAAAACTAATCTGATATTTTTTGCCTTTTAAAAGTTTAAAAGCACTTTGAAATTCTCATTCATAAAGTTGTGTAAAAAATCTTCAGCCTAAATAATCAAGCTTGCTTTAGACCATACTGGGGGGATATCAGTCCCTGGTATTTCCTTTTCTTTGCTGTGCTCAACCTAAACTAATGTCTGCGTACAGCCCTCATTCATGACTTGTAAGGACGTGATATAAAATGCACATTCTGTTTCATCACCTGATTGATCCAGGTACTTCAGTGTCCCATGGAACAGGGCCATCAGCAGCTAAAACAAACTTGCCATTGGTATTTTGAACTTTGTCTTTTAGAAATATAGAAACCTACAACAAGATAACAAGAATAACAAGAATGAAGACAGCATGAATAAGGATCAGAATACAAGATGGTAATCAACCCACAAGATTAACAGTCAAGAGTGACTGAGGGAGGGTGCTTATTTTATTAACTATAGTGGCATTTGTCATTGGAATGTCTGTCACTATTTCTGATAGGTGATTCAGAAAATATGAACAGACAAGATGTTCTCATAACTTTTCAAATAAAAGCAGTGGGCCTACAGAATCATGTACATGCAAAATCACACAAGACAAATCACAGTTGGGACCTGAAAAGTTGGCCAGTTTCTCTGTTTGTGAACATGTCCTTAATATTTCAATTTACACACATATGCACCCACCCTAATATGCATATCCTGGAAGAATGAAAGAAGAGTCTGGCGTATGATTTGAAACTGTCCTGCTGTCAAATTGGCGTAACTCTAAAAATGAAAGAAAATCAAGAAGCACGTCAGTTGTATCAATCACCAACTCAAACGAACACAACAAACTTCTATGTGTAGAGTGTAAAAGTTATCATAAACATTAAACAGTTCTGGCCCTGGTTATAATTTCCAGCTCTCATGTTACAAATTCAGTATGTCCAATAACCCAGGGCTCATGGATTTTGCAGCTGAGCTAATGAATTCTGTGCTTCACTTGCCTGACTGTGGGATGTGACAGCTCTTGGAAAAATAGCATTGTTAGAGATGAAATTTTGGGGGGCCAGTGAGAATGACTTTTGGGCTAGTGCATCATACTTACAGCTTGGCCAAAGGACAAGCCTGAAAATTGGTTTTCTTTGCACTCTGAAATTATATAGCAGAATCTCCTGCCCACTCCCACAAAAAAAGGTAAAGACTGAAAATTCACATTGAATAATGATTGAATGTGTAATTAGACTACATTACCTCATACAGTAGTTTGTAAACATTTTCTACTTGGTTGCTTATGGCAGGATTATCACAAGCAAAACTTCTTATTGCATCCATGTGATTGTATGTGACCAAGAGGACATCAGAAGGTCTGAGGCACAAAGAAACCTTACAAAAAAAAAAAAAAAAGTAAAAGAGTTGACACAATGAGGATTGTGCAGTTCCAGAAAATATCCATACCCACCCCGAGGAAGGTTGACAGGAATTCCAAGGGGGAGGGGGTGGGGGGTTCAAAAGCACATTTCTTTTAAAGGAAAGAATGAAGCTAAACTCAAATTTCCAGAGGGGTGGGGAAGTTCACACAGAAAAACCTTATGTGGAAGGGGGATAGATTTTTCCAGGAACACATTCACAGATTTAATATCATGGATTTCAAAAAAGAGAGCTAGGCTGATCAGTGAAAACAGACAGCATCTTCAATCAACAGCTGTATCAGACATTTGTGAAGCTGACAACGTCCATTATGGTTATGATCCATGTTCAAAACATCTGCCACTAATGCTTGTCATTGTCTAATACTTTTCACGTTCAATTGTGATTTTCCCTGCACAAGTAGCAATAATGGAGAGACTTGTTAGATTACATGATCTGCTTAAATCTGAAAAATGAATTCACAGCAACAGGCAACAAAAACATGTTCTCCAGGTTACAAAATCATTTTAATGGCATGCAGAAACTCATGATAACAACTTAACTAACAAGATAAATCCACACAGTTTTCTAGTCACAAATTTCTCTGCTCTCCTGGACAGGCCCCCAATGTTATGAGTATCGTTTTAGAGCAGGGTTGTTTCCAGGCAGAACTCAGGATCGCTGGTAACAGTAACAAACTAATTTGTTTTCGTAAGATAACTTCAGGAATTTACAGCACTAAGCATCTTCAAATTTGAATCAATCTCTTTTACAGCAGAACCTCTCACTCCAATATACATGAGGCTTAAAGTTCTAGAAACTTCTATTAGGAGCTAAATTAAGTAGTTTGACACAGTTTCTAATCTGAGTAATTACATAAGGATTAGAATGTTCTGGAATGTCCTTATACAAATTGGTCACGGCTGAATGACTTCAGGTTCTAGATTGTTCTAGAACTAGACTTCGAAAATTTTTCGTAACATGATCTCTGAATAACCCCTAGCTGATAAAAAAATACTGATACAACTACAGAATATTGTTTTCAAACAATGACACTCGCAGTTTTACCTGATACTTAAAAGCCATCGTCATCAAGTCATAGAGCTGCCAAAAGGGATAAACAAACATGGTCAATTTTGGTTACTCCACAACCAGCCATTCTTACTTTTTATGTTTAAAAACAAAGTTCTTCAGTAGCAAAGTGCATGGTTCAACTTCTAATAATTTAAACACTTTGTCAAATTTTTGTCAAATTGATGTTCCGAGAATAGTTCATTTGTCAGTTATTGGAATGTTTTGCTCAACCATCTAGCCACTTAGGCTTGGTTACCAGCCGGTGTTAGAGAAAGGATACCAAGCTCCTCCCCTGAACGGAACGTAGACCGGACTCAGAGTAACTGGCAGAAATCAGGCCTATAGGCAAACTACTCCTAGTAGTTCTAAACCTGGGTCACACTGTAAGGGACAACCTGAACTTGAACAAGAAGACTCTGAGTATCAGTTTAAACAAAGAATGCTCTGTAAAATAGAATTGACTGCACATAGCACTAATCCTCTCACCTTGTCCATGCTTGCCGAATTCAGTCTCATAATTGATGCATGAGCCAGTCTGTCAAACACGGTTCTCATAGCTTTCTTGGAATAAGTATCCTGTGGTTTAAAAAGCTCCTCCATGAACCGTTTGTTAAACATTGTTCCGACGATATCGTGCATCACTAAAAGAAAAGAAGAAACATAAGAGTACAAAACAAAGATCTGCCTAATATACATGAACTTAGAGAGTGGGTTTCTCTGGGATGATGTAGATCAGGATCAATGATGCAAGATCAATCTGATCATGGTGCATCAAAGGAAGCAATGAATCCACTCTGGTCACAGATTCACTGCTTCGTTTGATGCACCAATTAGAATCAATGATGAAAGATCATTCCAATCATGGTGCATCAAAGGAACCAATGAATCCCTTGCGCAGAGTGGATTCATCAGTTCTTTTGATGCACCATGATCTGAGTGATCTTGCATCATTGATCCTGATCCAGGTCATCCCAAAGAAACATGCCCTTAGTACAGTACATTCATCACCGTAAAGACCCAAAAGTAAGCACTCTGATTACTTTCAGATTTAGCAACCTTTCGTCAGTCACTACTTTTGGAAGATTGCTATTTAGTTTACGTCTACTTTGGGATAGTCTAATTGTGTTAAATATGTAAACAGACATGCACATACACAGCACATAAAATTTAAGCATAAGCACGACTAGTTTTGTTTATATAAATTTGTTTTAATTAGTGATCTAGGGACCAAAAGGAAAAAAAGTTCAACATGAATAGCTCCTACTGTACACATGTTGACATCAGCCTACCAAATTTCACCACCAAGCCTTGCTTTGTAAATGTGTAAATTTTATCATGGACAAATTCCTCAAGCAGCAAAGATGAAAAGAAGACCCAAATGAAAATAACCTGAAAGTCCCAGATGTTTTGGCAAATTTTGTGCAAAGGGTAAATTTTGAGTGTGTAATGCATTCATTAATGCGTAAGACATATCTATTAATATCAGCTGGTACAAAATATTCCCAACCGTTTATATATATATTGTCTGGCCAAAACATCGAGTTATATTCCAAGTTGTTACCACCAGAGCATCATTACTTTTGCAGATCAGTTGCTATGCTACATGTAAGGCTTTACTAACAACCATGAAATTTTATCGCTTCTTTCATGAAAGGGTTGCCAATTTGGAACTTTTTGGGGTTTTATGCAGCCAGCTGCCAACATTTTTTTGCTCTGGTATCACATCATGCATGGTCTGAGTCACTGTCAATCCTCAAAATCTCATTATGAACAAAAACTCTCGAAACTGCTGCTTCACATGTGAGAAGACAAGACTAGCCTTTTCCTTTGCAAGCCCAAGATGTTTTGACTTTATTATTTGTGAGATTGAGACTTCAAAGTGTTTTAAATGCGAGCACAAGATGTTTACTAGACTCTACAATGTTCAGATGTTACTTTTTTTAAAAAAACTTTTTTTCAGAGTCAAGAAGGTAAATTGGAAATCTTCTGCATTTTGATTCGTTTTAGGTTGGCTTCTCTATCATTTGCAACTGTGTTCTATTTAAGCTTGCTGTTATTAATCATAATAATTCGTAACAGTAAGGTAGAATAGACATGGAGGAGCTACAGTACTAAAACTGACAAAGCAGCTGCTTTTGGCTTTCAAACAAAAGACAGCTACAATAAATAGCCTTTTAGTGAAAATTAACAACCTGAAAGTGTAGCCAAGTTTTCCAACAGAGAATGCATACTGATTAAATTTGGTACATCTGAATGGCATTGTTTACCCCTAATCACTAGTCCACAATTTTTACTACCCATCTAAATTGCACCCATTGAGAATTTACATCTGCCAGGTTGAAGGACCTTAAAAATAGTACTGTTAAATGTTCCAAAAAACACTGAGAAATTCAAGTCTTTGCTTTGATAGCTTCAGTCTTAGAAAACTAATTAAAATGGCATCTTCAATAATATTTATTTCTAGTCCTACAGAGGTTTGTTTATTTAATTTCAAGATTTAAATGACCTTGCTCAGGCCTCTCACTAGAACACTACGTGAAGGCAAATTCGAGACCAAAAGTTAGCAAAAATATCAATAATAAACTGTAAAAGTTCTTTGTACCTAATAATCCTCGCATGGGTGATTTTAAAAGTTTGCTCTTGTTTGCTTACGCTCTAATATTAAATCTAATGATCGGCAAAAAAAAACCCTCAATGCAAATAGCAAAAGCTAATATCAAATAACTCTGTTTGGGAATCGGCCATTTTTATCTACCTTCAATTTTCCTGGCACTGACAAATTATAGGCAAAACTTTCTCCCATAATTGCATCCTGTTAACCTGATTCGATTGACATGAGTCCGGGGAGTTTTTGCATATGTTTTGTTGTAAGTAAACACCTTTCATAGAGGACCAGCCTCGAGGATAAGAAAAGGCAGGAAATAAATGTTATTTACGATGTTGGTAACAATTTCTCGCTGACTAATTAAGCTAGCCTACAAAATACGATTAAAAGAGGCTTGCACACAAAATATTTCAGCACAAGCAAAATATTTTAGCACAAGCAGCCATAAAAAAATCTATCCACGACAGCTGAAAAAAATCTGAGAAACATCCACACTTGTCGCTATCTTAAAAGAACCAACTTCTCAGAGATGAAGCTGACATCGCAAATTTCATTTGGTTGTCGCCCAAGGCAAACAGAATACGAGATCCTTAGTTTAAAAACAATGGCGACTCCAAGCTGAGTTGCTCTAAAGAATGAAAAAGACTCGATTCACATTGTACAATTCAAACTTCTGTCAGAAAAGACATCGAGTATTGGTTTGTAAAGTCTAGTAGTGAGGACGACGCCATTACGAGCAGGGCGAGAATTCATACGCTCCACTGAAGCTTACCTTTTCTCGCTTTCTCGTCGGGAATAGACTGTGCTCTCAGTCTTTGATCCAAGATATAAAGCATCTCTCCCCCGAGGTTGAGAAATAGAATTGGTAAAGTTCGCAGAGACATCCTGTCAGAACATCCAGCAACACAAACCTGACGAGACGTCGATAGCTTGGTAGCAACTGCTCGCCAGGGAAGATCAATAGATTATTGAAACGTTATTAATCCGCTTGGTAAATAGAACTGTGGGAGGGAGGGTGGGAGAGATGGAAGACTAGGCAGACCACACTCATACCGCTCAGGGGACCCAAAACACTTCTGTTTTTCGTTTACACTGAACAACGTCATTGAAACGTTAGTCTGGAGAGGGCTGAAAGACCGAGCCGTAAATTTTCTACTAACTTTTCAAGTAAATTTTCCTCCATACCGTGGTAGGCGGGGACAGTAAGGGAGGCGGGGTTGGGGGCAGATAGCCCGGAGCAATTCATATCAAATTTAGGTGGCTCATCACACATCGCGAAACGTATTGTGGCGCATATGCAGAATTGCATTGCGTCAGGAGCCCGGATATGGTAATTGGCAAAAGATTTTCGTTCGTCACGCAGTGTGAATTTGGGTTACCCTAAGTATGTACACCTCAATAAACAATTTTAGAGCGACGATTTTTAAAGTAAACAAGAAGCTTAAGGAACTTACAAACCACACGGTGAAACTTAAGTACATTTTGGGCTTTTGGGTAGTAAAAAATAATTAGAACTTTAAGAAGTTCTTTGTGTTGAGATGGAGTGGTGTGAGGGCGGTTTTTGGAGTGATCACATTAAAGGTCTCAAATTTTGAAATTTCAGAAAAGTAAAACAGAGTGATTTGAACGTATAGGGAGTAAAGTAATAGTTGTCATTGATCTACAATACATGTAAATAATTGTAAAAAAAGCTAACGCCCGCGTTCAAACGCAGAAACTTACTTGTCCACTTGACTTGGCGCGCTACACTGGAAGAAGGAGAAGTTTTTGCCAATCTCAAGGGTCCAGATGGACGTGCCATCTCCACTGAGAAGTTTCCGCGTGAGTACTTGAAATGAGGAGGACGAAATAATGAAAGCGAGGTCATAGCCCCTGAAAAAATCTTCGGGGTGGCTAAACACGCAGGACACCCAGCATATATACACAGGAAACCGACACAACACTGTTTGCGTTCTCCTTCGTTCAAACGCTACTGAATTGGGTTACATTATCTGTGCCATCTTAGATATTCCTAACGCGTCATGTTTCTGCTACATGGTAAACTTGAACTTTTAACCGTTAGGTTGCCTGCAAATCATGGTGGAGAAGCTCAAGACATCAACAACTCGTTACTCCAATATGAAAAGAAGGGGGTGCTCCCGTCGTACCTTTTAGGAGTTAAGAGTAGCTTTGGTGCCTCTTAGGGTGATCAGCCTTAAAAGGTCCACACCGGGAGCTTCTGCGGTGCCATTAGGGTGTCGAGCCGAAACAAAAAGGACAGAACAGATTATGAGTTGTTTTAGAATTGGAATCCCTCAGGGGTGAAACCAATTTCAAACCACGCCAACAAAACAGGATTTTGGTGCCTCTTAGGGGTTCTTTTCATAATTTCAGAAACAGTCGAGTTCAAATGGTGGTAAAACTGACAAAATTTATTTAACACAAAATGCATCCATTTGCACCATGTTTAGCTATGAAAACTAAGAGCAGCAGTGTTAACATTAAACAAAAATACTTTGTCTGTATATCTTGTGCTTTAAATTCATTGTTACCATCAATAAGTCACTAAGTGTTAGTTATGATAACTACCACCAATCAAAAACAGATATTGATATCCA